TGTGTGTGTGTGTGTGTGTGTGTGTGTAGACAGACAGACCACACACACACACACGCACACACACACACACGCACACACACACACACGCACACACACACACACGCACACACACACACACGCACACACACACACACGCACACACACACACACGCACACACACACACACTCCACAACCTACACTTTGCGTAGACTCTTGATCCTGGCTTTGCAGTGTAAATGACTGTGTTGACAAGTTGTTGTGCGCTCAGGTTTGACGGAGCAGGAAATGGACCTATAGCGTGCTGACAAACCACACCCCATTAACTGTCAATGGCAGACCGCGTCCACAGAGACCCACAGACAGTCCGGGAGGTGATGACCAAAGAGGCTTTCAGGGACACTCAGAGGCTGAAGAGACTCCCTTCAAAAACATGTAAGGAACAGCTCTGTGTTTCCCACTCATGTGTCAGTCAGTGGTGTTAGTAGTTCGCTGTTATTCAGTGTTTCCAATATATTCTGGGAAACAATTCATGCCTCTACAGGAGAGTGAAGAGGCGGCAGGAAGTGAGAGGAGGAAGACTCAGATGGGCCTGAGCCAGGACCGATGTGACCACATGGCCGGTGCCCTTCACACACCAGTGCACTCCACCTATAATCCAGATTCACAAACACAAACTGCACCTGATATTAAAAGAGTTTGTGCAGAATTAGCTTGTGATTATCTATATTATTTTGATGACATTAATATTTTTGTTCACAGAGACTGGTGGAGACTTTGTGATGATTTCAGTCCATTCATGTTCCCGGGTCGGATCCTGTTCATTGTGACTTTCAGCTCAGTGTTTACCTGTCCGGTCCACAGCAGCTTCACTGTCCTGCTTCAGTCACAGCGACGTTTTCAGCAGAAGTTACAGATGAGCTGGTGAACGTAGCAGAGAGTGAATATTAGACTTACAATGCAAACAACTTATCACTAATACTTGTATCAACTGTGGGTTAATGTTGTGTGGCTAAAAAATAGTTATTGCAATTATAACTTAACTTTAACTTGACTTGACTTAACTTTAACTTAGTTTAACGTTTAAAGTAACATAACATACGTAACTTAACTTGAACTATAACTTTACTTTAAAGTAACGTAACATATATAACTTAACATAATTTAACTTAAACTATAACTGTAACGGAACTTAACTTTAAAGCAACGTAACATATGTAACGTAAGTTAACTTAACGTAACTTAAACTATAACTTTAACTTTAACTTTCACTTTATTTAAATTAGAGCCGTACTTTAACATAGCTGTAACGTAACTTGCTTGTTCGTACCTCACATCTGCTGAGTGTATACGTCTGTTTTTAATGTGTATTTCCGTGTGTAATTTCTTACGTGCAGCACATATGTTGAAGTATATATCTAGATGTGTAAATCTATTCTTGTGTGTTCCTTCATGTGTGTGTCAGAGCTTGTTGGAGTGTGTGTTTGTGTGTGTGTTACTGAGCATGAGCAGGCAGAATCTCCCACTAAGCAGCTGTCAGAGCAGCGCTGGCTATCGTCTTCCCCGGGGGGTCGGCCTGTCAACTCGTCCCACTGACGGCTCTCCTCGCTCAGCCTCGCCTCGGCTGGCCCGGGGCTGGTAAAGATGTGTGTATTTCTGTGTGTGTGTGTGTGTGTGAGTGTGTGTGTGTGTGCCCTGCTCCTGTCGGGGCCCTGGCAAATCTGATAATTACTGACCTGACAATGAAACCCCCCTGACCCCCCTAAACACCCACTGAAACCCCTGCGCTCAGACCTCCCCTATGGGCGCTGAACAGCCCCCTGAGAACAGGCTTACAACTTAATACAGATGTACAGTGGCTGACACACATGAAAGGACACATTAGATCCCTCCTTTACTTTTCCATACATGAGACACACACACACACACACACACACACACACACACACTCATTCCTCAGACGTTTCACACATGAAACATGGAGAGGAATGAAAACATCTGAAGCTTGAAAGAACATTTTGGCGGGAGATGGTGTGTGTGCTGTGGTGTGAGAGGGAACAGTATGAAAGTCACCATGCAGGTGCTTTGCCCCCTATATGCCCTTGTGAAACTCACACACACACACACACACACACACACACATACACACACACACACACACACACACACCAGCCGCTGCTGTTCAGAGGGCCTTGGTGCAGGATAACGGGTGTTGACTGAGAACATGCAGCCGTAGCAGCTTTTGTTTTTCCAGCTGGAGGAAGTCAGATTATCCGACCGGTCGACTTTCACTAATTATTATTATCATTCCTTTGACGTTATGATCTTCGGCCACTATTCAGGCTTCGTTTACACATTGGATATTAAAAAGTTCTGCTCTATCTGTCCAATTTCTAATAGGTTTTATATGTAATTTTACTTATATGTTGTTATTTTATATGTGCATATGGAAATTCAATATATGTTCAAATACTACATATGCATGTGGGGTTCTTATAAAACACGTTCCCCTCCTCGTCAGGATGAACTGTGATGACTCTGGTGACTTTTCATCTGCTGCCATCATCAGGTCAAAACTTTATTTTGTCCAGTACTTTTGTTTATGATCAAATACATGTGAAACTGGAGACATTCCCATGAGTCTCTGCTGCACTTAGCTCAAAGCTACGCACAATGTGCATCATGGTGTATTGCTGGTACATGTATACAGCTGCTCACCACTGCAGCAGTGGCCCTGCTGTGTAGAGCATGGAGGTGCAGTAGGTTCATATGTAATTCAGACTGCAGAGCTGGGTACATGTGGGGTAATGGCATTTGAGTGAACCCACTCCTTTGAATTTCTCTCTTACTTGTCTATAATTCTGACACAGATAATGTTTGTTTTCCTGTATGAAATGGTTCCTGATGTAAAGAACAGTTGACTCTGCACTTGGTTATTACCAACCTGATCCACATTCAGATTCAGATCTGTCAGATGCAGGTTTGGTCCAGCAGGTCGTTCCCCTCTGCCGCTCACCGGCCAGTAAAACCTCTCTCTCTCTCTCTTTTTACTCTCCTGAAAAAATGTCTGAAAAGCCTCTGTCAGCCCCGTAGCCTGCAGTCAGCAGGAGAGCAGGAGCCGAGGCCGCAAAACGTCCATCATGTCGACAAATTGACTCAATCAGCTTCATCCAGGAGCATTAGCCCCTCGCCCCTTTGAAATTCAACACTGTTGACGGTTCACCGGAGTGTTTCTGGAGAGGGAAAGGAAAAAGGGGAAAAGTGGAGGAGAGAAGGAGACCTCATCATCTCAGGCAGTGACAGAGTGAGAGGGGAGCAGCAGGAGATCTGTGAGACACATGTGCGTCTGTGTGTGTGTGTGTGTGTGTGTGTGTGTCCTGGTGTCTTTGTGAAAACCACTTTGAGCTTTAGACGTTTGTGAAAAGTGAAGTCAGTTTAATCTGAATCTGTGTGAAAGTTTGGGTCAGTTTTTATTAATGGAAAATGAAGGTTATATATATATGTGTGTGTGTGTGTGTGTGTGTGTGTGTGTGTGTGAGTGTGTGTGTGAGAGTGAGTGTGAGTGTCACACTTCACTGACACAAAAACATGCTGCTCTAACTGCAGGAGGGCTGGAAGTGGAGGCTGCACAGACGTGAAGTTGAGGCTATTCATCAAACACTTCAGATCAAACACAGGAGAGAGAGAGAGAGAGAGACAGAGAGAGAGAGGGGAAGAGAAAACACACCTGGATGTTTGTACAAAGTTTTCTAACAGTAGAATGAAGGAGAAGAAGCTGGAACCACCTACTGACTCCACACATGGCTTTGTAATGAAGTGATGATGATGACACTTCTATTCCACCAGATTTCAAAGGCGAATATTTCACTTTTACTCAACTACAAGACTTTCCATTCAAAGCATCAGTAATCAGTTTTTGAAATAAGATCCATTGTTATAGATGAAACAACTGAACAGTATATGAAGTTGTTTTAATTAGCTATTTTTTTTCATTATTGATTAATCTGTATATTAACTCCTCACTTCATTCATTCATTATTTTGGCGACAAACTACTGAAAAATGCGCCAGAACAAGTTCACAAAACCCAAGATGGCGTCTTCCAGTTGCTTGTTCTGTCTGACTAACAGTCTAAAGACCAAAGATGTTAAACTCAGTGTAATGTAAGACAAGTAAAGGCATCAAATCTTCACTTCTGTGAAACTGGAAACACACTTGACATCTTTACTTGAAAATGATTTAAAATGGTGAAACCCTAGTTGCTGATTGTTTCAACCAATTGATTAATTGACTAATTGCGTCAGCAGGATGGAAACATGGTCTGCATGGTCACACTGACCTCTTGTGGCAGAACACAGGTCCTGCTTTGACACGTTACACACAGATACTCATCAATCCTCCACTCTGATGTGTTTGATAACACACTCAGCTTATCTGAACCGCTTACTGCTTTGGACTCTGATTATATAAAGCACAGACTTCAAGTATCGGCTAAACTCTAAATTAAAGGCTGTAATCATCATCTTCATTAATAGCTACATGAGCTACATGTAAAGACATTCATTTATGTAATTATTTACAGTGGCAGTTTCTTTTTGCTACTTTCTACTTCTACTTTCAGAGAGAAATGTTTTTTTTCCTTTAACCTTTTACCTTTCTACCTAACTTAATATATTTTTTATCTATAAAAGAATCTCATCTTTTAAACGAGTGAAAAAGCTGCCATTGCTGTGAGATGCTATCTATCTATCTATCTATCTATCACAAATATAAAATTAAAAAAAATAATATCAAGTAAATTTAAAAAATGTATTAAATCTGAATTCTAATTAAATCAAAATTTTAATTAATTTAATTGATTACATAAAATTAAATAATTTTAACAAACCCAAAATATTGTATGCCTATTATTTTTCATTACTTTGCTATCATTGGCTCTCTCAGACTACGTCAGATTTACGTGCCTTCCTATTGGCTGTCGGATTGACGCCTATTTCTGTTTAGTTTGTCCTGAGCTAGCGGAGTGAAGGTGAAGCTGGCCCGTGTCACTCTCTCTCTGCCCGTCGCTTGAAGCACCCTCTCCCGTCTCCTCCTCCTGCACTGCACCGGGATCATCTGCTTTAGCCCCGAGCCATGTCCATATTCAGCGATGTCCCGCAGGCCCCTCCCGTGGCGGTCTTCAAACTGACGGCCGACTTCAGAGAGGACAGCCACCCGCAGAAGGTGAATCTGGGAGTTGGAGGTAAGAGACGGTAGCTGTCTGCTAATGCTAAAGCTAAGTTAGCTTGCTCTGGCGGTGTGTCAGTCCACCAAACGCTGCCGCCGCCGGCTGTGCTTCCTAGCCTCGGTTAGCTACCAGGCTCTGTGTATCACCTCCGGAGCGGCGCTAGTGTTATCATGCTAACAAACATTAGCAGCTCTTTGATTTGACCTTCGCTACAAGCTAGCTGCGAAGCTAACGAGCGGCAGCATAAACTAGCTTCCGTTCATTTTGACAGCTACACGTGTCAGTCACATCTCTGATACTGGATGAAACGACACACATTAGACAAGCAGGGCCTCGTCTTGTGACTGCGCTGTCCGTGAATCACTTCTCGGTTAAAGAGAGCCTGTTTGTCGTGATGTAGCTGAAAACGTACAGCAGGTGTTTTGAACTTGTTCCGCTCTCTGTCCTTGAACGCATCCTCCACTAAAACAGAGCCAGGGTGTAGATGGTGACAGGACTGAGACTTTTTGCTCTGCTAAGCATCTAATGAGACCTGTTCTGCTGGTTCTGAAGCTGTCAGATCACCGTGCTCTTGTAATACAGGATGCCTCAGTAATAGTTAACATGGTGGCAGCTTGCTTGGTTACCTATGAGGGACTGGGGCTGTACACCTGCAGCCAAGTGCAGTAAACAATATTAATAACAACAGAGCCCTTGAATATCTTAAACACCATTTTCATAGGGTTGGACAAACTGAACTCTTTAAGGAGCTGAGAAGGTTAAAACATGATGTCTGTTAGCCTGGGTGTAACTTGTATACGATTTTATCATGTCTTTTTTGCCAGAATCAGAATCAGGTTTATTGCCAAGTACGTTTTCTCATACTAGGAATTTGTTTTGGTGCAACAGTAAACATAGTAAGAAGAAAAAGGTTCAACAAAAGCAAGTTCTGCAATGTCATGATGTGATGTCACCCATGCACTTGAACTGCAGCATCTTTACTGTCTTTACACCATGGACCACAAAAAAAAGTCTTGGAATTTAATGTCTTGTCATCCATGAAAATATGTAATTGTATGTAGCTGGGAGTGTTTCATCATTCTCATGATAGATAGATAGTTAGATAAATAGTTTTTTTTTATTAATCCTAAAGTGAAATTGACCTACAGGGTTATTAAAGTTCACCTCTAATGATGCAACATGGACTCAGACCTTTGCTGCACTTTTGTAGCTCGTTGCCAAAACACATCTGAGTGAACAAACCAGTTTGGACTGGAAATAAAAGACTACCCAGAGAGCCTTACCTGTTTGACGCGTTGTTGTCAAGTTAAGGATTCTGTTAAATGGGACACCGGCCGTCACAGTGGCAGGAGATGCTTATTGATTCATCTACATTAACATGCTAACTGACAAGTAAAAATAAAAGGATCAATAAGCTGCGATCAGTAGATGTCACCGCTGTGTCCTGCGCCGTATGTGTTAGTAAGATTCTGTGTGAAGTGTGTGCAGCTCTCACCTGGTGCAGAAACATCAGTGTCGCTCTGATGGACTTCGATATGATTTTGCCGCCCAGCTGATCCACTCATCCAAAACCCACAGTCAGACTTGTTTTGACCGTACGATTGCGTCTGCCCTTTGATTCACGGTATCAGTCTACAGCTGTGGTGCAGGCCTGATATCTGATCCAGCTCTGCACAGGCCTCAGTACAGTGCGAGGGAGCACGAGTTCTTAAGGGGTCAACTATGTGCATCACACACACACACACACACACACACACACACACACACACACACACACACACACACACACACACTTAGTTTAGTCTGGTTACTCAGGGTGACCTTCAGAGTGCGTGACAGGACCTGAAATTAAATACTGTGTTTCTCTCTCACACTCTCGCTTCGTTTTATTGTTTCATACTGAAAGATTATCTTGTTTTACTCTTTGAAGTAAAACATCTTCAGCCTTGAGAAGTGGTGCTGTAGTGTCAGGCAGCACGACGATACGCACTGAATTCAGAAGCAAAAGGAAGCAGAAGAACAGCAGCACAGTGTCGATATTAAGTTTTTTTTTTTTGCTATTGTGTCAGTTGACAATAAACAATAGAAAAATACACATTTATAACTGTTAATATGTTGCACAAAAGCTTTTATTGGTTTGTGTTTTTCCCAGATTGAAATCCAGATGTGACGTCCTGCGTTAACGGTAACGCTTGTGTATCATCTTGTGTTGCTTTGTGTTCCTTACAGCTTACCGTACTGATGACTGCCAGCCCTGGGTGCTGCCTGTGGTGAAGAAGGTGGAGCGTCTGATTGTGGAGGACGCCAGCCTGAACCACGAGTACCTGCCCATCCTCGGCCTGCCAGAGTTCCGCTCCGCCTCCTCCAAGGTCGCGCTGGGAGACGACAGCGCCGCCATCAAGGAGAACAGGGTGAGACGCACACATTCAGCAGGTGGTGCAGGCTCATCTGATGTTTGATTAGGTCGAGCTGTTGGCAGGAGGCAGATTGTTATAGGTTTTGTTTATGTGTGTGAAGGCACAGAGCTGTATGGCACCTGTCTTTCTGTATCTGTGTGATTTGCCTCCATCTGAAGCACTTTTAATTACATGTCATCTGTGAGTATTGGCTAATATTGCTGTTTTTGATTTTATTGTTTTGCTCAATAAATATCTGGATAAGGTAATATTCACTTTACTAACTACTATACTAGTCTGTCTTATTTTTCCCTTCACAAGCTTCACATCGTTGTGAATTGGTTTAAATAAGCAGCTGTAGGATTCAGGGCTCTGATAACCTGTGGTATAGATAACAACATTATTTTATTAATCAAATAAATGTCAGTCATGGTGAGTTGCAGTCTTGCTACAGTACAGAGTCAGATTCATGGTTGCAGTGGTTTAAAGGAGCTATTTGTAAGTTTTTACTGTTGCTACATAGCTAACGTTAGCATTAGCAGCTGTTTACTGACCAGTCCAGAAGAAACGTTGCGAGTTCAGCATCAAACTTCATCTTCTTAAGAGGTGGAGAGCAACGCCAATGTTATATCTTGTCTCTGTCAGGTATTTTCCTTTACTGAAGTTAGCATGCTAACCTGCTAGCACCAGCTTGTTCCAGCCAGTCTCCTCACTTTCCGATAGTGACTCACTGTAGCCTCCAGTCTGCCCTGAAGGCGTTGCGCTAATCTTTCATGCTGTTGACCAGATTCTCGATATCTCTCTCTCTTTTCGTCCGTCCTGTTTCCCTCCCGCTGTCGTCTCTCTCAGGTTGGAGGGGTCCAGGCTTTGGGTGGCACCGGTGCGTTGAGGATCGGGGCAGAGTTCCTGCGGCGCTGGTACAACGGCACCAACAACACAGCCACGCCCGTCTACGTCTCAGCGCCCACCTGGGGTTAGTGTGATGTGATAAGTTAGTTTGTTTGTTTTCAGGATGAATGTGTTTCAGTCAGTTTCATAGCTAATTCAAGGTTTTAAACATCTTCCTCCCAGAGAATCACAACAGTGTGTTTGCTGATGCTGGCTTCAAAGACATCCGGCCTTACCACTACTGGGATGCTGCTAAGAGGGGCCTGGACCTCACCGGGCTCCTGGATGACCTGGAGGTGAGGAGGGACTGGTGTTAAAGAGCTCAGTGTCACTTTCACGCCATGACGGTGAATCTACAAAAAAAAAAAAAAAGGATTAGAGGTTAGGTAACAAGTCATCTAATAAAAACATGGATGGGTGTGGTATCCTGTGACATCTTTTAAAACAAGAATGTAAAAGATCATTTCTGTGGTTATGTTGCAGTTTAAGTATCAGATTTCATAAATCGTCAGCTAAAATCACACAGTTTGTCTGTGAAATCCAAGGTTTACAACAGAAAAAGCTGCTGGAAAGTCAAATAAAAAGCAGTTTGTTTGTATTTGTGCTTCATCCAGGACAAAAAAAAGGGACAAGTGGAAGTAACAGACTCTGAAGGCAGCTGACAGTGTGACTGGACTGTGAAATAATCCTCCTCATTGCACTTGGTCCTGTGACTTCTGTTGTTTCTAATCTTGCCTCTCGCGTCACACATGACTGACATCTGTCGTATGTTACTGATTGTGTTACATTTTGAGGAGATCTGACCATTTTATATTAAATCTGAAAATTCACGACATACTATTTGTTTAGCAAGCCTGCTACAGAACTGCTGTTCAGTCAGCTGTGAGGAACCAGCAGACGGTGATAGAAGGGTAAAAATAGAAAAGTGAGAACATAGAAGAAAGAAAACAATATTTGCAGGAACATCAATAGTTAAAACTAACATCAAGGTTTCATATATTTTTAATGATGTTTAGCTCTGACTCTTCCTCCGTCAACAGAAAGCTCCAGAACACTCCATCTTCGTCCTCCACGCCTGCGCACACAACCCCACCGGCACTGACCCCACCCCGGACGAGTGGAAGCAGATCGCAGAGATCATGAAGGTAAAGACAGCGGTGTTCATGTAGTTCCTCAGATCAGGTGATGATGGTTGTTAGTGATGTCAGAGCCTCGAACATGCTCTGTCACATGAGTTCACTCTTCTCAGGCTTTTCCACTGATTAAAGCACAAACTGTGTCCAGTATATCTGCTGGTTTTGTCTTGATAACCTGATTGTGAATATGTGTGTTGTCTTCAACATGCTAATGTGCAGTGTTCTCTTGTTAGGAGTTGTCAAAAGAAATCTTCTTAAGTTGTACACACTTCACATAATGTTTGTGTTGGAGCAAACTAAGCTAATATTACTATTTCAACATCTAATTAATGTAATTCTTACTTTTTTACATTTGTAAATCCCTCCATGTTGTGTATTTCTCTCTCTCTCCTTCAGAGGAGGAAGTTGTTTGTGTTCTTTGACTCGGCCTATCAGGGCTTCGCCTCTGGCAGCCTGGATAAAGACGCGTGGGCCATCCGGTACTTTGTCTCCGAGGGTTTTGAGCTCTTTGTGGCTCAGTCCTTCTCCAAAAACTTCGGCCTGTACAGTGAGTACATGATAACGCACAAACAGGTGCCATTTTGAACACATACTTTAATCTTGCTTGGTTTAGTGTGCATCATGTAATTCCTCTTCTTTCTGCTGCTGTTGTCAGATGAGAGAGTGGGGAATCTGACGGTGGTTGCCCAGGACAACGAGAATCTGACCCGCATCCTGTCTCAGATGGAGAAGATCGTCAGGACGACCTGGTCCAACCCCCCATCCCAGGGAGCACGCATCGTCAGCAAGACCCTCAACTGCCCCGAGCTGTTCGCTGAATGGTACATAACCTCTGACATCAGCCAGTTAGCATTAGAGCCACTTAGCATGATAGCCAGTTAGCATGGGAGCCACTTAGCATGGGAGCCAGATAGCATTAGAGCCAGTTAACATGAGAGACAGTTAGCATGAGAGCCAGTTAGCATGAGAGCCAGTTAGTATTAGAGACGGTTAGCATTAGAGACAGTTAGCATTAGAACCAATTAACATGAGAGACAGTTAGCATGAGGGACAGTTATCATGAGAGATGGTTAGCATGAGAGACGGTTGGCATGAGAGATGGTTAGTATTAGAGCCAGTTAGCATTTAGAGACAGTAAGCATTAGAGACAGCATTAGAGCCAGTTACCCTTACAGACAGTTAGCATGAGGGACAGTTATCATGAGAGACGGTTGGCATGAGAGATGGTTAGTACTAGAGCCAGTTAGCATTTAGAGACAGTAAGCATTAAAGACAGCATATGAGACAGTTAGCATGAGAGACAGTTAGCATTAGTGCCAGTTAGCATGAGATACAGTTAGCATTAGAGCCAGTTACCCTTACAGACAGTTAGCATGAGAGCCAGTTAGCATTGGAACCAGTTAGCATTACAGCCAGTTAGCACTGGAGCCATTTAGCATAAGAGACAGTTAGCATAAGAGACAGTTAGCATTACTGACATTTAACATTAGCTATGTGGAAAGTATAACATATAAGAACTGTTATTCTCATTGTCTGTCTCTCTCTTTTTCCTACCTCCCTCCTCCCCCTCCCCTCTCCTCTCCTCCCCCTTGTAGGAAGGGTAACGTGAAGACCATGGCGGACCGGGTTTTGTTGATGAGGGATCAGCTGAAGGCCAAGCTGCAGGCTCTGGGCACCCCGGGGACCTGGGACCACATCACCCAGCAGATTGGCATGTTCAGCTTCACCGGCCTGAACCGTGAGTACTAAACACGCACACGCACGCACACACGCACACACACACACACACACACACACGCACACACACACACCACAGTCACATCCAGCGGTGAACATACTGCATATATCAGACCTGTGTCAGCAGTCACCTGCCAAGCTGAAGTGTTTTTATTAACATAGTTTTGTTCATCATTTCTAACAGTTATCATAACACTATCACCCAAAGAATTTTATTTAGATCCAGGAAAATGGAAACATCTCTAAACCAACAGTTTATCCACATTATCTAAACCACTCTTTGTCAAAGCAAATCGTGCTCTTCCAAGTAAGTTTAGCTAACTCTGAGTTTATTTAAAAAATGTATGAATAATCACTGCTGAAATTTCTAGCCCCCATTGGATTTCTTTTTATTGTTTCATTCTTGACCTTTGAAATTGAAGTTTTGACAAAACAATCTATTCTCAAGGTCCGCTTCTAGCTTCTTCCAGAGCTTTCATCCAGCTCAGTAAAGTTCTGTCTCGTCTACATGCTCTGTTTTCAGCAGTAAAGTGAGTAAGTGAACTTTTTAGTGTGGATTGTTTTGTCAAAAAGACCCAAAGAAGGAGAAAGCATCAGCTCTTCTTCTACGCCCTGCGAGACCGTCACTGTGTTGTCATGTGTCTTGCAGCCAAACAGGTGGAGTTCATGATCAAAGAGAAGCACGTGTACCTGATGGCCAGCGGTCGCATCAACATGTGCGGCCTGACCACCAAGAACATCGACTATGTCGCTCAGTCCATCCACGAGGCCGTCACCAAGGTCCAGTAAAGGCTGCTTCTCGCTGTCCGCCCACTTCCTGCCTCCTGTGCCCCACAGGAAGTCTCATCATGTCTGTGCCCCCTCCTCTCTGTGCCCATCCCTTGCTTATCCTCTCCTCTGATTGGATAAACTGCAGCAGGATTTTTTTTTTTTTTTTTTTTGCAGTTGAACCAATGGGAGGCCGGATTGTGTTTCTGTTCTCACACAAAAGTAAAAAATCTTTGGGAGGTGCAATGACTTTAGGAAAACACTTGAACCGCGAGGTATCGCTGTAAGCAGAGCTCCGTGTGCCCCGATGTGTAGGAGATAAAAAAAGCTAAAACGTCTTTTTGTCTAGGTCCCTTCTTCTCTAGGTCGCCTGTCTTTGTGCTTTCCACATTGTTTTCTGTTCGCTTCAGTTTATGATTGTTTCACACTGGACAACAGAACGTCGGCCAGTGAGATTATTGTGCTTCCACAATAATTTACAGCACTTCAAGGGATTAGATATAATGTATCTGTGGCCCTGAACAAATTGCAGCACAGATACGTTAATGTAAGTAGATGTAGTCACTGTTAGAGGTCCGACCATTTCCTGCTCAAGCACTGAACTCCAGCTTCACTTCAGGTCATAAGAAAATCCTGATTTCAGTATAACAATAATCATGATGCTGAAATCTGTCTCATTATATAAATGAAGCTACACATTGTTTTTACAGTTGTTGTTGTTGGAGACAACAAATCAGCACAATCAACTCATCCCAGCAGATCTATTATAGAAGGTTATTAACGGTTCTCATCTCTGTCATGTGACTCGGTTGAAAGGTCCTTTTAAAGGAAATGCATGTGCCTCATGTTGGATTTTTTTTTTTTTGCCTTGTCCAAACTGTGCAGCTATGTCTTAGATCATAGTGTCAGTTGGAAGTTCACACAGCGACTTTGTGTGCCATCCGTGAACAAAACTCACCTCTCTGTTGTTGTTGTTTTTCTCTCTCCACCCCGCAGTGCCCTTATTGTGTTACAGAAAGCCAATGTAATGTCAAGTCGTTTGTAATGAGCCACTCTGACACTTGTTAGCCACTCAGCCACACTCCCATCATGTGGCGTTGTTTGCAATGGCACACAACAGTATGTGTTCATACTGAAATAAATTATAAACCACAGGAACCGACTGATCTCTGCTCTCTGCCTGCTTCTTCTTTTCCACCCAAACCTTCCTCTGAAACAGACAAGAAAATGCAGATTTGGAAGCTGAACGTTCTCTCGTTATGTTGTTAACTGAGCAGCTTTTTGTCTGAATTTCAAAAACCAAAACTAATAATGTGTGAGTCTGTCAACTTCAAAGGGCTGTTTGAAGGATAAGCTTTGGCAATTCCTGACACCACGCACACACTTATATTGACAGACACAGAAAGTCCATCACCACCATGTGGATATTAACTGTGTAAGTGTCTCAACCTGGTAACACAAGCTTTTTGGAGGCTCTATGTTAGACACCTCTACTGCCAACACAACACTACACACACGCACATGCATCGTCTATATGGGGATATAGTGTTATAGCTTTTTTGCAGATCAACTTCTATAAGGACATGTACATGTGTGTGTACATGACTTGCTGTGGTTGTGGGGACACATTTGTGTTTGAAACCATCAGTGTGAGGTTATTTTGGACGGTCGTGACAGCTCCAAAAGGCTTTTAGAGGGACACCCGCAGTGACTGAGGTCAGTGTCAGGATGAGTCTCTACGACATGAATGAAACTGAAAGTAACGTCCTTTGTGCAGATTGAAACAAGAGGAAAGAAGTTCATGCACCAAGCAGCAGCAACATTAAATTTTTCTAGTTCTTAATTAGTCCTTGAGTTGACAGTTGAACCATTAGCTATAAATGTTTTAATATGCGCTAATCTTCCATTAGTTTTGGTTATACTGATATCAGCTGTTTTTCCACTTGTTAGTGAGAGAGAAACATCAAATGTGGTCCATGGCTTCGTTCACCTTAATTTGAGGATCCTTGACATGAAAAGGTTTGACCAATTGTCAGTTGTAAGTATCAATAGTTGAACTGTCAAAAACCTCAAATTTGTTCTGTCAAGATTCTGACAGAAGATTTCTTTTCACTTCCTAAACTTTTTCTTTCACCTGTTTTCACAGATGAAAAAAGAATTAATTAATTTTAGAAAGATTATCTTTGAAAATCTTTTTTTTTCATCTGTTCTTAAGTTCTCATTTGCCTCTCAGGACTTCCGCAGTAGTTTGTAAGACGACTAAATGACTGTAGCTCAGACTTGTACTGACTTCATGAATATTCATAATGTGAAGAGGAAGGAATCGTCTTCTTTTATCAGCTTGACTTCTGTCCTCTGCACAGAGGAACATCACCTTCCTCTCTTGTAAGACGAGACTCGGTTCTTTGATAAGATTGATATTTCTTTCATTCATTGTTCACCAGCTGATTGTTTGATTGTCTCTGGAGTCACACAGAGAGATGAGAGGAGCAGCTATGAGTTTAACAGCAGCATCAAGTGGATTTGTCGTCCTCCTCCTCACTGTACCAGGTACTGTACATCTACATTTACTCTGTAGGACGTTCAGTAAACTTACTGAGAACAAGCTGAAACAGGTATTGAAAAATAAATGTGCAGTGAATGTTGTTTTTTCTAATGTGATTTTTCTCCCTCATCATCACGTTGTTTCGCTGTTTTTTTTATTGTGCTGTTAAACCAAAGTCCTTAATCTGTTCATGTTTTTCACACAGCAGCATCTCTCAGTATCTTTTGACCTCAACATTTTAGTGGTAGTGTTATTCGCACTAGTAAGAGTTGTGCTGTTTGAATTAACTAACAATGGAGCTGTAAGTGGTTCATTGAAGGATTCAAGTAACTGAAAAGAGTTAATCCTACAAATGTCTTTTACGTTCTGTTTAGAGAACGAAGATTAAAACATCGACCAAGGCTCAAAATAACCAAACGTCAGTTAAAGGATACTTGTTGATGTCAGTGTGATGTTCACTTCCTGTAATGGTCAACGTGACCTGCCCTTCCTGATCTACTATTCAACATACAAACTCACACACGGTGGGTACACATACATACACACATACAAAATACATTACTGCAGCACCAACCTGACCATCAGAGTGAACAGAGAGGAAACTAAACAAGGAAGTTTCACAGGCTCCTAATAATAAATAAGTATTCCTCTCACCACTGTTCATTACAGCTGCATTAAATTCCACCAGGTTCCAATGGTTTTCTGTTTGACTTCTCTCATGTCCTCTGTGTTTCACTGTGCGGCTTAAGTACAGCAACGTACAGTCAAGAAGTCACAAACGATGTATTAACATCCATGAGTTAAAAGTGAATTAGAAAAAAGGAAGAGACCATAGGAGAAAAAACATGACTTTGACCTCAGCTAAACATAATATATAACAATAAATATAACAACATGACAGACATCTTTCGTCTTAAATCACAGTGAGAATGTTGAGCAAGTTAGTTTTTTACAAATGTATTTTAGTCATGTTGTATACTATTGTTATATATATGTTTACTGAGGTAAAGTCATGTTTTTCTCCTATGGTCTCTTCCTTTTTATTCACTTTTAAACTCATGATGTTAATAATGTTTGTGACTTCTTGATGTAGTTGCTGTATTAAGCCACAGTGAACACAGACATGGAGAAGTCCAAACAGAAAACCATTGGACCTGTGAATCTTAATGCAGCTGTAATGAACAGTTGAAGGAATCAATTATTATTATTAGAGCCTGTGAAACTTCCTTGTTTAGTTTCCTCTCTGTTCACTCTGTGGTCAGGTTTTGGTGTCATGTATGTATTTATGTATGTGTGTATGTATGTGTGTGTACCCACGTGGTGCTATTGTATGTGATAGTAGATCAGGGGAAGCAGTCACTGTTGACCATACAGGAAGTGGAAACATCAACATGACATCAACAAATGTACATTTAACTGACGTGTTGTGTTATTTTGAGCCTTGGTAGATGTTATCTTGTTCTCTTAAACAGAACGTAAAGACATTTGTAGATTAATCTTCATGTACTGAATCCTTCAGATGAACCACTTACAGCTCCATTTATTACAGTTAATTCAAACAGCACAACTCTTACTGTGCAATAACACTCACCACTAAAATGTTGAGGTCAAAGATACTGAGAGATGCTGCATGTGTGAAAACACTGAACAGATCTAAGGACTTTGGTTAACAGCACAATAAAAAAAAACAGCTAAACAAAGTGATGATAGAGAAAAATCACATTAGAAAAACAACATTAACTGCACATTTATTTATTCATCCTGTTTCAGCTTGTTCTCAGTAAGTTTACTGAACGTCCTACAGAGTAAATGTAGATGTACAGTACCTGGTACAGTGAGGGAGGAGGACGACAAATCCACTTGATGCTGCTGTTAAACTCATAGCTGCTCCTCTCATCTCTCTTGTTGACTCCAGAGACAATCAAACAATCATGGCTGTGGACAATGAATGAAAGAAATATCAATCTTATCAAAGAACCGAGTCTCGTCTTACAAGAGAGGAAGGTGATGTTCCTCTGTGCAGAGGACAGAAGTCAAGCTGATAAAAAGAGCGATTTCTTCCCTCTTCACATTTATGAATATTCATAAAGTCCCCCAGTTACAAGGTCTGAGTTAGCGTATTGCAAGGAGGGCGTTTGACCCGCAATTAAAACCAAATAAGTATTAGTATAGAGGGATAGTGGTGGGTGCTTTCTCTCCCAGGTCTGCCCTCTCCCTTTCTTGTTTCGCCTCTGTAACACGCATCCTGACTTCTGCTGACACTGACCAGGTGTAGGTTCTCACAATGGGTTATCACTGGAGCTTTCAAAGCAGGAAGCAGGTAAAGCCTGGTGCACTGGCCTTCGATGCTTAAGCGTAGCAGCGAAGAAAGACCTTTGTTTTTACGGTCGTGGTGGTTCAAGCAATATCAGCTCTCAAGCCACCAGTGCAAGGCACAGAAGAAGTTTCCTTCTCCGGGTTTCTCTGTTTCAGCTGTGGGGCCTCTGTGAGTGTGCTGTAATGTTTCCCATTGCAAGAGTTAGGCTGGGGAGAAGCTGTCAGATAGGTACGCATTGGGGTTCATCAGAGCACTGCTGACAGGGGCACTTCAGTGTGTGTGTGGTGTGTTGTGTGTGTGGTG